AGTCACCTACTCTTACTGAAACGCTATCTGTAAAATGTCAAGAAAATACTTATTTTTCAGTATTAAGTGAGGTTACTTCTGTGCAAAATAAACCACAAAATGCCACACAACACAACATGGTATTATTATGTCTTTTTTTAAAGAAAATCTTTATTGTTGAAAGTATTACAGATGTCCTCCTTTTCCCCCCGTTGACCTCAGGTAGCCCGCACCGCCCCCCGCCCCCCCATCCCAGGCCTTCACCACACTTTTGGTTGTGTCCATGGGTTATGCATATATGCATATAAGTTCTTTGGTTAATCTCTTCCTTCCAACCCACCGAATCCTGCCTTCCCTCTGAGATCTGACAGTCTGTTCCATGCTTCTATGTCTCTGGATCTGTTTTGTTCATCGGTTTATTTTGTTCTTTAGATTCCACATATGAGTGAGATCAGGTGACACTTGTCTTTCTCTGACTGGCTTATTTCACTTAGCATAGTGTTCTTCAGGTCCCTCCATACTGTTGCAAAGGGTAACATTTTTTTATCCCCTAATCTACTGAGGGGCACTTGGACTGTTTCCAGATCTTAACTATTGTAAATTATGCTGCTATGAATATAGGTGTACATATATTCTTTCTGACTGGTGTTTCAGGTCTCTTAGGATATGTTCCTAGAAGTGGGATCACTGGGTCAAATGGCAGTTCCATATTTAATTTTTTGAGGAAACTCCCTATTGCTTTCCATAATGGCTGCACCAGTCTGCATTCCCACCAGCAGTGTACTAGGATTCCCTTTTCTCCACATCCTGGCCAGCACTTGTCATTTGTTGATTTGTTGACCATAGTCATTCTGAAAGGTGTGAGGTGATACCTCATTGTCATTTTAATTTGCATCTCTCTGATAATTAGTGACTCTGAGCATTTTTCATATGTCTCTTGGCCATCTCTATGTCCACTTTGGAGAAGTGTCTATTTAGGTCCTTTGTCCATTTTTTTAATTGGATTGCTTGACTTGCTTTTGTTAGGTTGTATGAGTTCCTTATATAACTTGGATATTAACCTTTTATCAGATGTATCATTGCCAAATATGTTTTTTCATACAGTGGGCTCCCTTTTCATTTTGTTGATGGTTCCTTTTGCTGTGCAGAAGCTTTTAATTTTGACGTAGTCCTATTTATTTTCTCTTTTGTTTCCCTTGCCCTAGGACAGTGATGGCGAACCTATAAGACGCATGTCAGAGGTC